GTTATTATTTTTGTATTTTTTTCGCCTTTTAATTCTTTCCTTAACTCGCCCAAAGGTTCAGCATCCCTACCCTTTCCGCCCGCCCCCCTCAAATCAATACACTTTCGAAATTTTCAAGGGGTGGTACGAGGAGCCCCCTTTGCAGTTGTTACACCCATGGCCATGAGCTGTTTAAGTAAATAACTCTGAACGTATTCCTAGACTTAGTGAGCGAAAACAATAAGAAATTAGTTCAAGAAGTACTAAAAAAGGTGCTAGTGGCAAAGGTACGCCTTGAGGTAGTAAAAAACTCAAGAATTTACCCGGGACTGGTAAATTCGAAGATGATATTTCGCCCTTGAAAAAAAAAAAAAAAAAAAAAAAAGGAAACCCGGATCCCAGGAGGAAAGAAAGCCAAAAAAAAAAAAAAAAAAGCATCCGAGGACGAGGGCCGCTGATCTGCCGTAGAAATCGAGGACCTGGCCACAACGCTCGATGTGAATGGTTATTCCTTCTCCCCTTCTCGAGCAGTGTGATGGTGTGTACACTCGATAACAGTTCTGTCTGATGAGCATGTCATTCTGTTGATTGTGTTAACAATCTACGACAACGCTTTGGCGAGTGTATCTTTCCATGTTCCTGGGACAGATACATTCTGATTTTGCGCATTTGCTGAGTGGTGTGGCGAGCCCCGTACGGACATTGTTACACTCCCTGCTTCAGGGCCGTTGCTGCGGGTCGCGAGGGACCACAGACCCGTATTCCAAAATTGAATAAAGTTATATAAAAAAAAAAATTGAAAAAAAAAAACCCCTTCCAAAATTGCCATCTGAGGGCATACTCAGACTAGCACTTTCCTCAATGTATCGGGCTGCAATTCCATAGAGACATGAATGCACCTGACTGCAATCACGTCCAGAGCTGTATCAAGAAAGTCCTTGTGTGAGTATGCAGAGAGTGGCTGCGAAGTCGATTGCGATCCATACCAAATTTGGAAATCGAAACCCCATCATTGTCAAACCAAACAAGGCAAAAAGACCAAAAAAAAACAAAATTCCAGTCCCTTCTGTAATTTGCTGAACAACAAGGTTAGGTTATGTACATGCCCCGGGAAAAAAAAAAAAAAAGGTTGTGTACATGCACACCGATTTCCCACCCATCTTGCTGTCATAATACATTCCTGTTTGGGTATTGGCGCAAATGAACCAGGATGCATATACCCGTCTGAGGTCATATTCACCCTGGCTCCTTCCCAGATGTACCTGACGGCAATTACAGCCTGACCTGCATGTATCTGACCGTAAGTACGTCCAGAGCTCAGTTGAAAACGTCCTGGTGCGAGTTTATGCTCTGAGAATGTGAATGTGAATTCCAATCCTGGCACTGGTAGGTTCGAAAAAGGATTTCGCTTAAAAAAAAAAAAAAAAAAAAGGATTTCGGAGGGACTGCGCTCTGGGACATTCCCGTCGGACAACTGAGAATATAATTTGGAATTTGCGAATTTCTGACATTTATTTTTAGTAAACAGAGCGGTGCATGGGTCTTTTTTTTTGGTAAAAAAAGAAAGTATAAATGTATAATGCTATTCAAGTCAAATGTGGTGCATGATTAGAATTTAGAAGCTAAAAAAAAATGAACATGTGTGTGAACACACTGTAGATAGACCATAATTGAGCAAACAGCGATGACCTACATTAGGCGCCTCGCTAGACTACACGACGATTATTTTAATGTGATCATTTTAATGTATCTGGATCTTTTCATGGTAAGACGCGTCCAGAATGTTCAATCGGATTAAATGTATCCGGACCACGAAGCAACCGACATCCATTTAGAATGTTGTGCAGTCGAGCCAGAGCCAATATCTCCAACGAAACATTACATATATTGTTTCCTTTTTTTTTTTTTTTTTTTTTTTTTTTTTTTTTTTTTTTTTTTTTTTTTTTTTTCGCTTTTGCGCTCTGATAACTTAGTGACACTATTAAAAAAAGTAAACAAAAAACTTTGTGACTATATATATATATACATTACCGGGAAGCTCTGTTGGACGATATATATATGTACATATATCAACCTTCTGATGAACCGGTGAAACTCCGTCGAAACAGTTTGCCACAGCCCCTCGTCTGTTGGCCGCTCTCCCTCCGTATATTTTATATATATCGTATATATATATTCTGTTTGTGACGATATATTTATTTTTATATTTATATTTATATTTGTATTTATTTGGTATTGATTTCGCAAGTGCGTCAATCGATGCATAGATCTCTACGGCTGTTAATCAATTGACTCATCCGCTCTTTCTTTGTAGTTTTTTTTTTTGGGGTTGGAAACTGGAAGAGTGCAGAGCGGATTGACATCGTCCCGCGCAAGGATGCCACCCGCATTGTCAAAGACAAAGCGGGGAAGAAAACAAGGACAGCGGTTCGAACTTCGTCACCTCCCATGCTCCCCCTTATGAACTATGCAAAAGTGAGCAGTGCTGCAGTGGCCGTGACGGTCTGATGTTCCTGTCCGCAGACTTGCGCACTTGTGCATCCGTACATCTGTCGCCCGGCGAATCGTCTCTTTTTTTTTTTTTCCTAAAAAAAAAGGGGCTTCGAACAGATGTACGAATGATTTCCCTCCCCTTGAAGTTCACTGTTGTGCAATAATGTTTTTTTTTTTTTTTTTTTTTTTTTTTTTTTTTTTGAACAAAAAAGGGGCTCCCAACAGATGTACGAATGATTTCCCTCCCCTTCACTCAGATGCAATAATGGCTTTCTTTTTCCCTTTTTCTTTTGTTTTGCGCATGGTGAGTTTTGTAACTTTTTGTTCTCATTTCCGTCAGAACCCACGTTGCAGTGCGTTAGGCCATCGCCACACCACTCTTGAAATGTGCAAAATGAGAATGAACTCCGCGCTAGAACATGGCCAGATGCATCCGCCACATTTTTGTCTTTTTCGCATTTCGAGAGTGGTGTGGCGAGGCCCTTAGGTGGTTGTCTTGTTAGTCGGTTAGAGAACTTAGCCTAGATTAGATTCCCTGGTTTTTTTTTTTTTTTTTTTTTTTTTTAAACGGGAGCCTATCTGCGACTCTCCAAGTCCTCCTGCAGTCCTCCGTCTGTTCTCTGCAGTCCACATTCAAATACCATTCGGTCTTTCCCACTACCGTTCTCCTGAGCTTAACCAGGGTCCTATCGTCAATTCAGACTTTTCTAAAATCGTTACCAAACGGTTCTGTACTGCCCAGGTGTTTAGGAACCAAACTTCAGATTCCCTGTTTTGTCATGCTCAGTGATCAAGTAGGGAACAGAGAAGGCTACCTCCTTCCCCCGAATACAACGTACGGTCATTATAGCTGTATTTAGTCTGAAAGACGGCCCAAATTCAGCTATAATGACCGTTAGTTGTATTCGGGGGAAGAAGGTAGACCTGCGTACCATCGTGTTCCGTCCCTGTTTTGTCATGCTCAGTGATCAAGTAGAGAACGTAGAAGGCTACCGTCTTCCCCCGAACATAACGCACCCTGAAAATGAACGTATGCAAGGCATGTTTCCGGCTCGATACAGTGAAAACGAGGGTGCGTTGTGTTCGGGGGAAGACGGTAGAGTTGCGTAGCATCGCCCGAACGCTCTCGGTACCAAGGCCAAAGTCGACCGAGGCGTCCTTCGGGACATCCGTTAAAATTGGAACGACACAGAGAAGATTAGCATGGCCCCTAGCAAAGGATGACACGCATAAATCGAGAAATGGTCCAAAGTAGACCGAGGCCGAACATTTTTATTTATTTATTTTTTTTATGTTGTTTTTATATATAGAGGGGTTTGGGGGCCCTGGGCGTATTGCCCAATGCCCATCACTCCTGAACATGCACACACACACACACACACACACACACACACACAAACCACACACACGCGCACAAACACACACCACACACCACACACCACACAAACACAACGACGTGCTCCGCATCCCCTCGGTTCCCGCTCGGCTGAACATGTTGGGATGCTCGGTGGGGCGCCAAACATGTTGGGCGCGCTACGCAGGGCTAGAGATGAGGGAGTCGGAGTCTAAAGGGGTCTTGAACTCGGTAGACTGGGATAGCATGGCTGTGAATTTTAGATTTGTGTGGCTTTGATGTCCGTGCAGAGTTGTTTTTGTGCGGATGTTTTTCCTTTTCTGGTTTGCGAGGCTTTTCTTTTCTCCCCCCCCCTGAATTATTGCAAATAGGCAATTGGCAGGAGTCCGGGGAGCTCTGGGTATGCAATCGAAGAACGACAGCAATGCACGAAATGCACATATAGATAACCAGAGCCCAAAGAGAGAGTTTGGGGGGAATAGAGCAATGCCGAGGGAAAGAAGAAGGAAAGTCAACAACACAGGTCTCCCGAACGCGACCCAAAGACGGTCGTTAAAGATATCAATGCGAAACCACAACCATCTCGCAAGCTCATGCAAAGTGAACGGCAGTTTCCATGCAGAAAACTGACGAACCGTAAAAGCTCCAGCAAGCTAAAGGCCCGACCCTACGCGTTTCGGCCGGTCGCCAGCCAGGCCATCATCAGGGGTCCGTTGTCGCGGCGGAGGAGGCCTATGACAGTGTTGACGACACTATAAGTACCTAAAACAACTAGAACAGCCGCGGCCTACTACTAACCCCGCCAAATCCACAGAAGGCCAGGACACCTCACGTCCAGGAAAAGGTCCGAGAAAAAGTCCAGATACAGAGAAAGTACAGAAAAAGACAAGACAACAGACGATAGTCAAGACAAAATCCTTGCAACTGGAACCCAATCAACCAGTTCTACATTTGTCTTCGAACTCCGGACCAGCAAAAGACAGAACAGCAAAAAGACAGACAGAGAAAGACTCCGACAATTCCGACGTCGGTTCAAAACCCCTAGACTGAGTACAATCCAGAAACAGAGAGAGCAAGTTCCCCTAGATAACTCTGTAGATCGCCAGGAAGACCGGAGCTCGAATCCACAGACAGAGCAAGACTCCGACAGTTCCGACGTCGGTTCGAAACCCCTCGGACCGTAACACAAGGCACAAAAAGCAAGCAAAAAAAGTCAAAAAAGTTAAAAGGTTAAAACAGTTCTACCGATGACATCTCAGTGATCCATTAAGACCACCGGCAAACCCCCAATTGACATCCCACCCAGTCAAACACACAACCCATTCCTCCCAAATCCCGCCGAACTTATCTGAAAAAGTCCGAACAGCAGAATCAAAGTAACAATCCGGAAACCCTCTCTTCCTAAGTTCAATCTTCAATGTCAGAAGAAAGATAGCCTCCGCACCAACCATGGTAGTAAACTTCTTCGCTCTATAAAGAAACGAGCTAACCACTGCTAACTTCTGCTCACGACTAGAGTAAGTGCAGAAGTCCTGCAGATTTTGATAAATCAAACGTCCACCGTGAACAGCTGCCTGGTTCTTGTGCGTTGCAGCAGAAACAATCCCCTCCGGCCCCTCGCACACGCCAACAACACATCCCAGAGACTGCCAAAACGGCCCTGAATCCGTTCTTTCCAGCGTCAAGTTCTCGTTGTAACAGTCCTTGAAGACACGTATCACTCCTTCCGCAGCCTGTTTGGAGATGGCGTCCCCCTTTGTGTACCGAACGAAAATGGAGACATCATCCACGATGCGTGCCCCATAAGTCAACGGACGCATGCTACCCAACGCGCTGAGAAACATGAACTCAGAATATGCTGACAGAAGGCATGCCAGAGCCGGGCTTGAAGACTTCCCCATGGGTATGCCAGTATGCTGACGTAACAGCTTCCCACATGCGTTTATATATGTGCAAGACAACTCAAACTCAACAAACTTCACAATAACATCGAAGCTGATCGTCTGCCACCCAACCTGTGACTTACCCAACTTCATCTTGGTCCCTTTCCCCCTTGCACGCACCATCACCCCTTTGCATTCCTCTGCCGTCCAGAAGTCAACCACCCAACGTACTGCCTCTATCACCGCGACATGGGGCAGGTTACAAAACATCTCTTTGATGTCAAAAGCAGCCGACACAAAGCCTTCACCTGCTTTTAACTCTTTGTTGGCCAACGCAATCCTGCCCATCAGTTCTTCAGTGCTCTTCATGTTGAAATTGCTCCTCATTGGTAGACTCCACAGCATCTGATTCACAGCCCTAGCTATTCTCTTGCTTGCTGTAACACCACATTCTTCCCATAACGGACAAATCGGTCTCCACTTCCTGACGTCTTTGTGCTTAGGGATAATGTAACATTTTCCCACCTTCCCATGTCCGTTCCATCTACCCAACTTCTGAAAACCACACTCCTTATACCTTCTCCCATTGGCATCATTACTCTCAGTCTCATCCTTGTCACACAGTTCGAAACCCACATTGCTGAGAAACATCTTATCCATGCCTTCTCGATACGATACCCGACAGCACAGCAACGAATCTCCTGGGTTGTGGTCAATAGGACAACACACCAAGTTACCAAATCGGCACTTCCATCTCTCGACATCCTCGGTTTTACACACGGATCCCATCTCACACCCCATGCCATTGAAGCATCCAAGTACTGTGTCCCTGGTCATCATTGCCGCCAGTTCACCCCGCGATGTGCCTGAATGCTGTAGAAGATAATCAAATGACTGCAGGACCTGCGATTTCAAAGACCCTATGATCCGATCCGATGATGGCCTCGGAATGTTCTTGGAGTTCTTCAACCGCGTAGGAACAAAATCCACCTCACTTGGTCTGAAACACACGTGCCCATCCACCCGCGGCAGGTCCTCATCCATTCTCTCACAATCGCACTGGACTTCATCCAGTCGTGCGGCATCCCTAAAATTGTGCAGAATGTCACCAATACTCTTATTTTTTATCCAGACCACACGCATGCGACGTAGTATCATACGTTTCCATTCCTCAGACAGACTCAACTGCATTACCAACCCCGCTGCCAACTTCCGAGCGGACGCCTTCCTCAGAGTGACATCATAGACAATCTTAACTACTAATCTGCACCGAACATTCACCCCAAACTTCCGCCGAATCACGCCAGACAAGATGCAACGAAGTGAGTATCTGGATCGCTTCTCAGAAAACGAACGCACGGCACTATACAAGCACACAAGCTTATCAAGATCCCACGAGAGCAAATCCTTCCTCTGCGGAGGGTGGCTCAGAAACTTGGTCAGGAGTGGTTTGAAGGACTGAAGAGAAGAGCAAAAGGAAAAGATAGATAAAAAGTTGATCACAACACCCCCCGTCAACCAACCCCTGGCTTTTCGTAACTGCGTTCGGCCAAAACACGATTCTACCACGGACGATCCATACAGTCTTTTCACAAGTTTCTAATGATCGACTTTCAGCGAGCCCCCCTCACAGCACAACGTCAACGTGGAGCATCCCTCACTTCGACAACCATCAAGAATCTGAATCAAACTTGCATCAGACTTACCACATCCAGTGCTAAAACTAACGTGCGTACTCTGCACAGCAATCCCCTTCTTCACCACTCGTCCCCACTTCCTACGTCGTTCCCGCTTACCGGCCCTACATTTCCTAAACTTCTTGGGTCTGTTCCTGCAATTGAGATGCGGACTAATTAGCCTAATTAGGAACCATCCCAGCTCAAATAATTGAACAGAAGAACAACGCAACAACGGGAGTGCCACATAGTTTTCCAATCCACACCGTCTCAACCACTTGTAGAGCCTCTCATTACGTCGTTCAGTCTCAATCACCTCAACATTCCTCACCCTGAAGACACGCTCACGCCATCTCACTTCCAAAGACCTAGAGGTAGCACCAACATACATATGCTTTGTCCATGCCGAAATATTCACATACACAAGAGGCCCCGTACATGTCGCAAAATCCAAGCATTCCCCACGCACACGCTTCAAGTAGCTGCACAACTTTGCACCCCAAGGGATCTCACCAGCTAGAACAAGATTCAACACCGCATCTCTATAGACACCCTCACTCTCCCCATACCTTGCATCATTAAGGACAGACGGCCGACAGTCAAAACATTTTCCAAATCTCGCTGTCGCGCGCAGTTCTGCCAGCTCATCCGCTGTGGCTTCAACTGTCTTGTAGTCAATGCCTTCCTGCTGACACAGCGCCTCCAATCCCGCTTTCTTCAGCGCCCGTAACCTCTTACTTTCCAGTTTGACAAACTGGAACCTATCATTCGCCTCGGTCAACACATTGTCCTGCACTAATCTGCTTGGCGTCAACCTAGGTCTTCCCCGTCTCGTCGTTTTTTGCGCGCTCATCACCGCTGCATCGAGTCTTCCTTTCAAATTAGTACCGCCCGTCGGGGCTACTTCCGGCTCCGTTGTGAGCTTCTCCACCTGTTCCCGTAGCTTAGCAACTTCGGCCTCAGCCTCCTACTTCTTTTTTTCTGCCTCCAAACGTTTCACCTCAGCATCCGTGTTTCTCATCTTCAAGACTTCGACCTCCCTCATGGCACAATGCTCAAGATCTTTCGTCTTCCGAAGCTCTTCCCTGACCGTCTCAGCAGGCGCCTCGCTCAAGCGCATCCTAGATCTATTCCTGTCATCACAATCCGGAGTCTGCATCGAAATAGTCCCACGCTTATCACCCTGGGGCCACTACCCAGATTATGCTTTTTTTTCTGGAAACCGGCTCCAGAGTTTCTTCAACCCAGGACCTACTCAAAGTATCAACAGTCCAGTTTATCATCCAACATTCCCATATGCTGCTGGCTGCATGTGCTACTTGGTGGGACTATCGGGAAGTTTCGTCCCCAGCCCAGGTGACCAGAGGAAGACTAGGTATCATCTCAGTAAGTAGTAGGAATACCGGGGACCAAAGAGTGGCCCAGGGGTCTCAAACCTGAGCCCAAGCGCTCTTCTTAATAACTTGAATCGTCGGGACAGGGATTTGAACTTGTAACTTTATGCCCAATTTGTTGTTGAAGGCTTAGTTTGAACCGAGACTTGTAGAGTATTTGAGGATGCTAGATGAGGATGGAATGGGTGCTGAACGTGGGTCCATGAATATGGGAATCAAATAATGGGATAGCATGGTTGGAAAGGGACATGTAGACGATTCAGAAAAACTCCAAGGACATGCTATTATCCAGTCTGCAATGGAGGAATTCTCCAGGATGAAAGCGGCGGCCCGTACTTGAAAAGAATAAACCCTGATCCACACGATTGAAGAGGCCGAAAGATCAATGGCGACGGATCCCTTTACGGACTATTACTGGTCTACCAAGAGCACAGACACGCTACACTTTTTTTTTTTTTTTTTTTTTTTTTGAACTCCCGCGGAGGCTCCATCTATTGGTGGGGTGGGGTGCAGCACCTGCTGGAAAGCGGGTCCAGCGTCCCTTTTTACAGTAAGAATATGGGAATATGAACAATTGGAAATGGTGTCTTGTGAATCAGCACCTCTTCATCCATTGTTGGATGCCAGATCTAGCACTGCTACCTGGTCCTGATTCACTTAAGAGAACATGAAGATCCAACCTGTTCTGAGGACATAACCTGAAATCTTCACACTTCAATCATACCCAAACCAAGATCTCGGTGCCATAACCAATAGTCGAGGGGGAAAAGGGTCAGGAAACTCTACTATTGGATGGGTCTACCAATGTCCAGTCCTGAAATACTATCCTATAGTCTCTCCTTATTTCTTCATCCCCTCCTGTAGCCCCTTCCCATTTTACTTTTCCCATTTCCCCCCCCAGGTTTCCTCCAAGCCAGCATGTAATGAAATTTTGAATACGTTTGTGGATTTCATCTCGTGAAGACAAGTGTTGCATTTTTTATTTCGCTTGCTCCCATTTTGTTGTAATTTCTGTTGGGACATACAATTAAATAGTTTCAGTGAATTCGGGTCCACCTAGGCGAGCTCCCTCCATTTCGTAAGTGCATCTCCTCAACCAAATGACCCATATGAATGCTCTTCTCCCCACGAACCTGAACACTTGGAAATTCAGCGTCAGTCCGACTGGCTGGAATGGTTGAAACTCAGAGGCATTATCGGTTATGATCGCATGACTAAGCTCACTTTCTGCTTACTGATCCGACAACAGGCCAAACCAATAATGAGGGAGTTGAATCACCCCTTTGGACTTATGGCCCCCCTGGCCATCGATACTATCGCAATCTGTAATTATTCTATGGACTCCTTTAAAAACATTGTCACGACTCGACGTACGACGCCTTTGACACAAACGTGACGGAACAGACAGCCTTTTGGAACAGATCGGTGAAATCAATATCCAATAGTCAAAGCGGATGTCTAGACGGTCCTATCACGGAGAGAGAAGCGTGAACAACTGCCAAACGGATGGCTCGAGGTAAGTGTCAAGGTCCTGGTGGTTTGCCTGTAGAGCTTTTCCTCAGTGCATGGAAAGTAACCACCCCCTTCCTTTGTGAAATATAGAATACAACCCTCTCAACAGACACCTTACCTAAAGGGGTAGTCCAAGACATGATCTCCCTTCTATATAAAAAAGGTGATAAGAAGGTAAGAAACAGGAGACCAATTTCGATTCTTAATGTAACTAATAAGCTTCTGGTAAAATCCTTGCAATTGGACTAGCGGATCTCCTGCTGGAGCTGGTCGGGGTGAAACAGGGCGCCTTCATCAAAGGAAGGTCTATCTTCGAAAATATTTTAACTACTTTCCAGACTCCAGACCCTTAAGATCATTGGTAAAGAAGCAAGGGACGTGACCATCCTGATGCTGGACATGGAAAAGTCCGATGGTAAGGTAGGATGGACCTTTGTAAATACCACCTTGCAAAGATTGGGTTTCGGTCCAAAACTCTGCACTTGGATCAAAGCCCTGTATGCGAATGTCACTGCCTCTGTCTTGGTCAATGTCAAGCTCTCAAAAAAATGATGTCTTACACGTTCCTTCTTATAAGATTGAATAGTCCATCTACCTTTCTCCATTATATTCCCGACCCCTTCTTCCCAAAAAAATTAACTTGAAACTCAGTAAAAAAGATAAGTTGGCACCCTTCTCCTTCTAAAATACTTCAAATGTGTGGGGAGGGGGAAAACCAACTAACTACAAGGAGACTTTTACACACCAGCCCCTGAGTAACTTCCTCATAGATCCAATCAGTCTGGTTTCTCTTTTTGAAGCCAGCGTACAAAGCTTAAGTGTCCCTCAGGTGATACCAAACTGAAGACCCTATTGGGTGTCCACAATTTTTTTTAATTCAGAACGCCTCCTCCACCTCTAGAATGAGCTGATTTCCAGTCTGCCAAAATGGAGAATCGGAGGCTAGCCTTGATCATGTGTTTCTGTTGTTCCAGTGGGATCGTCTCATTCTCGAAAACCCGAGAATTGCGGACCTTCTATATTACTTTCATGATAGTTCCTCTGCATATTAGTGCCATGTAGCTCCAACTGTCCTGCAATCCTTTTCCCTCCGGGGGAATCACAAACATAATCCAACTATCTGTCCATTCCCAGTCTATTCTCAACGTGTCTGTCCACATTTCCTTTCACCACATTCAAACCTCATCTGCCAAAGGGCAGTATATCTACAAGTGTTATGAGGATTCCTAGAACAATTCTCGACTCCTACGCGGATTCCAAGGGGAGACTCGCATGGATAAAATTCCTGCGAGAGGGGACGTTTTTGCCAATCTACCTGCATACTTACCTAACACTCTCATCCCGTTGGGTGATTGGAATACAACAATGGTCCCCGGATTGGATTCGTTAACTGTCTACCCCCCCCCGACCGGACACAGAAATTGTGTCCACGCTAATAGATTCTCTATGTTTATTTGATGTATTTCGTACTTTACACCTTGAAGCCAATGACTTTCCTTGGTATGGGTCCAAACCATCTAGAAATACTCGGGCACCAAGAAGCAGGTTGGACTTTATTATGGTCAGGGGGGGCCCCTTGGGACAAATATGTTTACTGTGAGACCTCCGTAGTGGACCGAGGACTGTCTGACCATTACCCGATAATTATGGATGTAATTTATGCGGAAATTATTGAAAGAGAAAGACCCCCTTCAGATTAAATGTTAATCTGCTGAAAGAGGAAAGGGTTAAGGACAGGGTAAACGATCAAATGGAACATTGGACAAATGCCAAAGATTTATTTGAAAACCTGTTAGACTGGGACGAGACAGGGATCAATATAATTCGAGAAGCCCTGATTAAATTTTTAAGGATGAAAGCCGCAAATCAAACATGGAAAGAAACAATTTTGAAAAGGAAAATTGAGAGAACACAGAGTAAGATGGGCTCAGACCGTTTACGGACCACCATTGGATAATGATCCGAAAAGCTGCCCTCAAGGAGCTAGAAGAGATTGAAGTTCGAAAGCAACACCAATGGTTGGACTGGCTGCAAATTAGGGGTATTGTAGGGTACGATAGAATGACGAAACTCACCTTTAGATCATTGATTCTTAGACAAGCAAAACCTCTAATTAGAGAACTAAGGCACCCATTTGACACACAAATGATCGTATCCTCAGATATTGAATCTATGTGTGCCAACGTGTTTGACTATTTCAATGATATTGTGACGACGAGGAGACCGTTTGACATACTAGACACAAACTTAGCAGATTATTGTATCTTCTGGGCGAACACAAAAGTACATCTTTCCTATTCTACAACACAATCTCTGGAAGAACCATTTACGGTAGGAGAACTTTACCGGGCAGTGAAACAAATGACCCTAGGCAAGTGTCCCAGGGCCGATGGTCTCCCGGTGGAACTATACCAAGAATGTTGGGAAGCCCTGGGATCCGTTTTGTGCGAAATATACAATAATCTTAGGAGGAAAGACTCTCTGTCAAACAACCTCCTACAAGGAACTATATCCCTCCTGTATAAAAAAGGAATCAAAACAGAGGTGAAGAATTATAGACCAATTTTTGACCTGAATGTGACCTATAAGATATTAGCTAAAGCCCAAGCGTTGAGGTTGGCCGAATACTTACCCCAATAGACACACACACACACACACACAAACCACACACACGCGCACACACACACATGCCACACACCACACACACACAACGACGTGTTCCGCATCCCCTCAGTTCCCACTCGGCTGAACATGTTGGGCTGCTCAGTAAGGCGCCAAACAAGTTGGGCGTGCTACGCAGGGCTAGAGATTGGAGTGAGAGTCTAAAGGGGTCTTGAACTCGGTAGAATGGGATAGCATGGATTTGTGTGGCTTTGATGTCTGTGCGGAGTTGTTTTGTGTGGATGTTTTTCCTTTTTTGGTTTACGAGGCTTTTTTTTTTCTCCCCTCCCCCTCCCCCCTCCCCTTGAATTATTGCAAATAGACAATTGGCTGGAGT